ACATACGCTTCATTTTCAAATAGGAAATAGGGATTGGAGGTGGGAGGGCTAGAAGAACATAATCTAAGATTGATTCCAAAGGAGAATTTAAGCAGAAAAACAGCATATATATAATATAAGTATAGTACACATGTTCCAAGACCCCCAGTGGAAATCTGAACAATGGTTAGTATCTACATATACTACATTTTTTCCTATGAATACATACCTATGATAAAGTTTAATTTATAAAGTAGCTACAGTAAGAGATTAACTAATAATAAAACAGAACAGTTATAGCAATATACTGTAATAAAATTTATATGAATGTGTTTGCCCTTTCATTACATCTTATTGTACTGCACTCATTCCTCTTGTAATAACGTGAGATGTAAAGGCCTATGTGATGAGATGGAGTGGGGTGAACGACACAGCTGATAGAAGCTTTAGGCTACTGCTGACCTTCTGACTACACATCAGAAGGAGGAGCATCTACTTCCAGACCACAGGGGACCTTAGGTGACTGAAATCCCAGAAAAGGGGGGACTACTGGAAGTCACCCCATAATCTACAGACTAGAGAGGAGTAGGACAAGTCAGACACTGAGAACCTAGCAAGGGGGCTGTTAGAATAGCACAAAGGAAAGTGCCAAGAGCAGAAGGAAAGCAAAAGAGGAAAATCTAACAGACAATTCGAATTCAAAAAATTAGAACCAGCTGCACGGATAAAAGAGAACAAAGAGTGAAAATGACAGTGAAGTCACTACTTATCCTTGAGTGACAAGGGGATATTTAGACTGGTCCAGTAGGTAGACTGCAATGAGCTACTGTTATTTAAAGAAGAAACTTCCTATCTTTCAGGTGAGCTGAGGAAGAGGAAAGTTGAAAAACTTTGGTTCTAGAGTAAAATTAATAGCTACCATTTATGACGCAGTTAATTTTCAAGAACCGTGTTAAGCACTTTATAGACATCATTCAGCATGTTACAACAATGGTATGAAGTAGGTATTGTTTTTCCTTACACAGTTGAGGCTTGGAAAGTTTAGGTAACTGAAAAAGTCACATAACTAGCATATGGCAAAGCATTTGCTTAGATGAACCATAATGATTAATTTGTGATTAGCAAATTCAACTAGATACATTAATTATAAAAAGTTAAGATCAGAATACACCATTCCACAGGCAATGTTTCCATGTTTGAGTTAAGAACAGAAAAAAAATAATAAGACAAAAATATCCTGATTTCTCTAGACTTTATCTGCTGGTAAGGAGTGTATTACTCACTTTTCTATCATTTGTGCTTAACACACTAGACTATGGCTCATTAAAAATCTTACGAGAATGAAAGAAGGAATTAATGAATGAAAACGTATGTTGCCCTACTACAAATAAATCAGATAAAACCATACTAAACACATGTATCCTTTACTTGGTGAAGATGATTGACAGCCTTCTGGAGAAACCTGCTCCAACATTTATCAACATAGTGTCACTACATCACTTTCAAATCTCATACCAAAATTTTGATCCAAATGTTTACCTCAGATCTTTTCGTAAAACAGGAAAAGGATTAATAAGCAATACCCTGTGTAGTAGTTTGGAATTTCAAATCTATTTTAAATGTGTTCCTTGGCCTATTCAACTCTAAAAAAAATTATTAGTTTTCAGGAATGTGTCTTTGTTTTTAATAGACTTTTAATCATCTTAAAGTTTTTCAGTTTTTCAAATCCATCTTTATGTCCCAGTGAAATTGGAAAATCTAAAATCAAACCCAGTAATATGATGCAATGATTCATTTTGCCAGGGCTAATGGAAGGATAACAGAGATGGCAAATCAAGTATTTAGGTTCATTCCTAATATAAATCCTGACTTCATGATTTCTTCTGAAATGATGATTGATTTTTCTCATCACTTAGGAACCATGGCTTCTACACAGGACCATCTGAAAACTGAAAGGAAACCAACAAAAGAAGTAGCCTCAGAGGTCTATTTTGCTTTTTCACATGTATTTATATTACCTAAGAGTTCAGTAAACTACAGCCTGTCGAAGGTCAAACTACAGACCATCCAGGTGGTGGGTCGAATCCAGCCCACCACCTATTTGGTCTGGTCCAGAGCAAAGAATGCTTTTTAAATTTTCAGGTGGTTACACTTAAATAGTCACATAGGTACCTACATAATACCTTCAGTATTGACTCTTGATGCACAGTACCCACACTTGGGACTTTTAAGAGAAAGTTTGCCCACTCTTGGTCTAGATTATTTTTCTTTTCCTTAAAAAGGGGAATTTAAAGCTTTTGTGAAATGGTTATACTATTGGTAAGAGTGTAAGTGGACACTGAGTTTACAGTGAGGCATTTCTGCCTCTTATCCACTTAGAATTTTCTGTTCGGAATCTGTTATTTAGGGTTTTGTGATTAAACGTTTGGCAACCTTTCTATGGAAGGATGTATGGCCATTTCCTACTAAAGCAAAAAAGTATTATGTAAAATTGTATAAACATTCATTTAGATAGTTTCTCAAAGACCAAAAAGGAGAAGTTTCATACTTGAGACAAATTAAAAAATCAGATGCATTGTTTATCATAATAAGTTAAAACAGAAAGCATCCTGCACCACTGTCTGCAGTGATTGATGCTCCTTTGAGTAGAGAGTGAGGTCAGAAGAGATCAGAATCTCTAAAAAGGAGCATTTTAAACTTAGACTTCCCCAATTTCTCTTCTCCGGATCCCAAGAAGTGAGAGACTCTCTCTTCTGCGCTAACAAATGCTCTTCTAAGGAGTGTGTAGTAATCCCTGAGGGTACTGACTGGGTTGGAAACCAATGAGCTGCGCTCATTGCCTCAACACAGAAAGCGGAAGAATGTTCTCCAATCCAGATTCTAAACTGTACCCAAGACAAGCTGGGCTCCACCAAGTAGGATGCTTAGACAAAAAATGAAAATCAACACCTGGACTACAAAAGCTCTTTTAACTAAGAGTGTCCCTCTTCTAGGGTCATATAATCCTTGAGGTAATTTTATAAGAAAAAGACCTATTTGTTTCATATTACCAGGAAAAAAAAGTGTTTTGAATGATTTAAATTACTATGATTTGTCTCATTTTACCAGGAAAAAAAATGTTTTTAGTGACTTAAATTATTAGCACTTGAACAGTTTAAGAATACTATTGAAAACTATTTTAAAAAATCAGTAAGGTATTGATATTTAATTAAAAAGTAATAAGTTGTTTTTAAAGTATAATGCAATAATTTTCTTAGCGTATTTTGGCAAAGTTAAGTTCTCCCATCAGTGGAATTTGTATATTTTTAGATATTCTGAGCTTCTCTAGGGAAAATACAGACAATACAAATTGTTTGATAATTTAATTACTAAAAATTTTCTATAAATTTCCCTATGAAGCATAATTGTTCATCTCTGTATGTAACAGTGATCTAAATTGATAATGGGTGGGGCATCTATTCTAAATCTGGCTAAAATACATAATGATACTTTATCATCCTATTTTATTGTTCTCAAAATCCTAAATATATTCATTTTCATAGCATATATTCCAGGAAATTTGGGAATCTCTATCTTATGAATGAAGTGGGGGGTATGCATGATGCTTTCATAAATTCACAAAGAACACAGCTTAAAAATATTCCTATACTTAAATTATACTGTTTAAAAGCATGTTTTTGATGTCTTCCTTCCCTGTAAATCTGCCAGGCAAAACAGGAGTTACTAATAAGGTGGACAGAAAACTCAAATCCCAAAGTAAGCTTTAGTGCCTTGATTCTCATTTGATTCAACCACATATTGACAAATCTTCACTTCTCTTTATAATATGTAGCTGTGCTCTGTGGATAACAAAGATGGCTTATGGAACATGAACCAATGCTTGATGGCACACACTCAAAGGAAGAAAAAGTGCATTCTACTAATAGTTAACCCTGGCCATTTCCATGGAAACATATTTATAAGAAGTCACTATCATGAGGCTGTGCGACAAGGCCTGTTAGAACTGACTGCTAGTAACGCATTTAGGAAAACATAGGATGAAAGCATCAACTATCTAATATCACAAAACGAAATCAGGGAGTACAGGAAATGAGAGTAAATGATGACAGTGTGCCTACCCAGGTAACCATTCCCTCACCCCCATTAAAAGTGACACTGTTGTTCTAATATGAATATCCCTATATATGGTTTTGATGTAGCTAGTTGGTGGTGATCATCTATACAAGCTAAGTGCAAATTTCACCAGAGTGGGAGAGAAAAAATGAGAACTTTGTTAGACTGAAATATTCAACATGCCCACAGAGATGACCCAACAGGTCTAAACTCAGTGGTATTTCTGTTCAAATCCAGAGTACCAGAATCCCAGTTCTAGAATAAAATTAAGATGCCTTCTTAAAATTGACAGCATCAGAACAGTGGAAACTGAAAGTAAAAAAAAAAAAAAGTGGTTGGGGGGAATGGAAGAGAAAATATTCCAGTCTCACTGTATTTCAGATGAGTAATAAATGCACTTGATTCACAGTAGCCAAGAAATTAAGAGAAGTGAGTTTTAGCATACCGACAAGCCTTAATCATTTTATGCGTCTGCAAGGTGTGTAAATTACGAAGGAGCCATGGTTTTTCCGCCTGAGAGCTTGAACCCGGCTAGGCCCTTGCGGCCCACCACCTCCCCGCCCCCCTCGGCCCCTCCGCGTGGGAGTCGCCGGGCCTGCAGAGCCTGGGAGCAGCCAGGCGCTGGCAGAGCGTTCCCACGCTCGGGCCGGGTCGGGAGGCCGCGGTGACCCCAGGGGTCCTTCCCCACGCTCTCGCGCTCCCAACTCCGCCCCGGCCGCCCCTCCTCTCCGGGTCCCTGCTCCGGAGCGTGGGAGCGCAGCTGCAGCAGCGAGCGGCGGGCGGAGGCATCTGGGAGGATGCGTTCCCGCGATCCGGCCAGCAAGGCGCGGGGAGAGCGCCGGGGGCCGCCCAGGGACCCCACTCGCGGCACCAGCGCGGGGCCCGAGCTGCAGGAGCCGGTCACTTACTTGATGTCCTCCCACACCTCCGGGCCGTAATTGCGGATCACCAGCAGCTCCAGGGCGTGATTCACGAAGCCGTACTGTGGGGACAGGAGGAAACCACGGCGTCAGGGACCAGCTTGGTGGAAGGGGGCTTTAGGGCGCGCTTGTTCGCTCCATTCTGGGTAGTAGGTGCCAGAGAAGGGCACCCCAGGGACCCAACCTCCGCCCGTATGATGGGCAGATCCTCTCCGTCACCGTCCGCCCCACCGCCACGCCACCTTCTCACCCCGCTCACCTGTCACCGCTCCGAAGCAGACTGGGCATCCTGGGAAGGGTGGCGGAGTGGCCGCGACCCCCGCGCCTCCCCCGCTGCCGGTGGGGTCGGCCTGAACCGGGAAGCCCCCGCGCCTAAGCCGCACGTACCCTTTCCGAGCCTGGGAAGTCGCGGCGCGCTGCGGCGAGGCGTCACCCCCACTAGGAAGCAAGGATACCGACCATCCCCGCAGCGAGCCCCGGCGTTCCCGCCTCCCCGGCTGCAAACTGAGGGGCTGCTCCAGCCACCCCCGGTAAGCGCCTCGGTCCCCGTGCCAAGCTCTCGAGGCGCGGACGATTCCCCGGGGCAGTCAGGCCCAGCCCGGCGCGCGGGAGGCTCCGGCCTGACCCGGCCGAGAGCACTCACCATGGTGTCTCCGCCCGGAGTAGGGGAGGCTGCCCCCACGCAGAGGCACGACTGAAGGGACCCGGGCGCGGCGGCAGCGGCGGCAGAGCCACAGGATCGCGGCTGCAGCGCAGAGGGGGAACGGACGGAGCGGCCTCCGCCGGTCCTGATTGCCACCTCTTCTCAGCCAATGGGGAGTCGAGCCGCTGGGGGCTGGCTACTGCCTCCTAGCTTTCAACCAATCAGCGACAGAGGAGGGAATTCGGATACTCTCAGTGCTGCTGTGCTCCAGTGCCTTCCCGCCCCCGCCCCGGTGACAAGGCTTTCATTTGAGGCCACAACAATGACGACCGAGAAGGCCCAGCCATGCTCCTTACACGAATTCTGGGGCAGAGAGAATGCAGCTGTTGTGATCCCACTGAACATATTTTTGTAGGAAGGTCTGCCATCAGGAGTAGCAAAAAGTGTGCGTGTGTGTGTGTGTGTATTTTGCAAGGACAAAAGCTTGCAAAGGCTACAAGGAGTACAACCTCGTGGTGAGCACCTTCATGTGTATTGTCATCTTGCAGATAAACATTTCCTTTGTGGCTTGATTCCTCAACAGTTTTTAGCAAGCTGAAAAGCTGATAGTGCTGAGCTTAACACATTTTAGTTAAGTCAGTGAGGGTAGTTGAGTGAAGCTAAAATTTTCAGTAAGTTTGGTGAACATCATGTCACAACCAGTTGAGCCCTACAAGATCTGAGTTGTGTTCTGCGCTTGATCCTGGTAGGACGCTGGACTCTATACCAAAACCGGTAGTCATGAGTCCAGAGAGTTTGTAACTGTCCAGAACTGGCTTCTGGTGCTCTTTTTCGGAGGTAACTGATGGACAAGAGAAAGCCCAGTATAAAATGAGTTTAATTAAACTGTCCCCAAGCCTACATTCCACCAAGCACTTAGATTAGTAAATGCTCTGAGCCTCTCCACAGGGAGGAAATGAGAGTAACAGGAACTATCCATTGATTAAAATTCTGTGCCTGGGATGCCTAGATAGGGTTGACTAGTGTTAGGTCAAAAGGGAGGAAGAGAAAGCAAGCGTTGCCTCTTAGTCACTAGTCTCAAGCGGACCTGAGAAGCCAGGATGGGATTCTACAATGGGAATAGTTTGCTGTGAGAACAACTGCAATATGGTTAAACTGCAAAAAAAAAAATATGTCAGTACAATAAAACTGCTTTGGCATCAGTTCCCAGAGACCTGTATTGAAGTATAATTGATAAAGAAATAATTGCATGTGGAAAAAATGAAACAAGTAACTTATAAAAATGCTAATTTTTATCAACATTGGAATAATTAGTCTTTCAAACCATGGAGCACTTTATACAATTTATTAAAATATTAAACCATCATTTAATATTACATATTGCTTTTTAACCATTAAAATAGTCCACTACCCTATACAACCATGAAAGAACTAGATACATAATGATACAGGAAGTTATATTATTAAATAAACAAATGACACATGTGCAATCACCCTCAATCTTTTAATGGTTGTATAGAATAAGGAGCTACTAGAATAGTAACACATACACATTGCTATAAGCATAACCTTCTGGGAATATGCATAGGAAAGTTTTGATATACCTTTTGTCTATCGTTAAAACGAGTGACTGTAAGAACAAAGACTTTTACATTTTGTATTATGCACCTTCTGAACCTTTATTTTTTCCTATGTATACATAATAAAATTTTAACTTTTATTAAAAGACTTTTTAACACATCTTGACCTGTCTTTTGAACAGCAGCAGGCTCAAGCTATGTCTCAGTCTAGAGTAAGCTGGCGTCCTCTACCTTAGACTTCCTATTAGTAAAAGATAGAAAGTTGCTCTGGAGTGATGAAATGAGGAAAGCTCATCTAGAGAAACATGAGAGGAAATGAAGGCTGAGCATCCTGTCGACCTTGTTTTCTCCCTCTGACGTTCAAACTCACTGTCCTTTCTGTCCAGTAACATTTTCGCTTTTATTGCCCTTTTGCCCAATACCTACTTGCATTTGTAAATACAGAAAACTGTTTTATCCCCTAATTGTCTTATGTTAACTAGGAATCTAAAGGAAGTTCTGTTCATTAAACCTTTGCAGACTTTTGTTTGGTCCAGAAGATACAACAAAGTATATGATGTTCAGGGAGAGGAGGGTGCCCGCCAGCCTTGGAGGAGCTCAAAATGGGGTCATTATGCTTCTGAAAGCACCCTATCCATTATCGCCACTGCTGATAAAGGAGCACAGGAGTAGAGTCACAAGTGGACTATTTCATATTCTTGAAAACAGTATATTGCCCTTTCCTCATATGTCTTAAGCTGTGAAGAATAGGTTGAAGAGGAAAAGAGGAGTTTAGAGAATGACTTAGCCAGCCCTAAAGTCAACACTATTTGAAGATCAGTTCAGTGTATGAAAAATAAATAAATAAAAAGGCATTATGTAGCTTTCAGGAATGTCAGCTGAAATGACTCACATTTTCAGCTAATAAAAGTAAATTAGTTGAGTAAGTTAATTATTAAGTGTATTATTAATCATTGTTTTCAAGGCTTTTCCAGTGATGTGAAAATAACAAATCTTAGGTTGGGGAATAAAGAGGAACACATTTTTGGGGGTGTTCTCAGCTCTGTGCATGCTTTTTAAAAAGCTTTTTGGTTTGTTTGGTTTTTTTGCCAATTTTTTCTACCATGGAACCAGGGCTTCTATTTTGGATCATTTTGTGGAGCAGCATGTTCTTTAATTTCAACAATTCCTAATACAATGATTAGCTTTATACTCATATGCTTCTTTAAACTGAGTGGCTCAAAGCCTGATTATTGTTTCTCCATGAAGCTTCTGGTACTAGTGTTGGAAAGGCACACAATAATCACACCTCTTATTGTGATTTTTGCTACTACAGTTGCACTCAATACTTAAAACAAGGAATGCATATGAGTAAAGCAAAAAGTGAATTCTAAATGACATGTAATATGATGTGGTTTTGGACCAGTGGAAAAAAAGACGTTCAATAATCCATATTCTTAAAGAGATGAAATTCAGATTTACTTTTAAGTTTGGTCATATGAAAAAAGTATTATGTAATATTTTTTGAAATTACTTTCTATACCAAATTCTTTTGAATGTTTATCTTGCCAACAGAATTTATAAACAAACAAAACATGCAGTTACACACACACATACATACCCACATGTAGATACATGTTCAAGCATATATATCTATACTCTTGAACTCTGAAAGTAAATAGAAAAATTAAAAGAATTAAGAGGGATGCTTGGTATTGCTGTCATAATAATTAGAAGCATTAAGGAAAATCAACCCATCACCTATATTTATACTGGAATATATGTAATTATATAAAAGTGTGTTTTATTTCTGAGAAGCTTCTGAAAACTGGAGTCAGCTCTAATGTTATGCTTCCAGAGTCTAACTGATTAAAATAAAAACTAAGCCGTTTTACCTTGGCCACAGTCCACATTTACACATGACTGGGAGACACTATCAGACTTTATTATAAGGGAAGATCTATAATAACTGTGTCAAAGATTCATCTGCTTTGAGAAGTGAAAGATACCTTAAAAGTTACTTAGTAAAACTCTCTTTTTCTATGTCAGGAAACCTCTTATGCACTTTGCTTTGTTGGGGAACAATGAAAAATTAAAATCTTAGCCAAAAAGTAATGATTAGTAAAGTAATAAAATTATGTCCTCAGAAGCCCTGGAATATTTTAAGACTGCCATGAAATTAGAGCTAAATGTACTTTCCTAGAGTCTCACCCAGTGGTAGTTGGAATCTAGCACTTGAGCTACATGCGTCTATTTCAAAACAATCCACTGCTCTTAAAAGCCTCTAGATAATTACATTAAAGTGTTGCTCTTTTCTAGTAGGTGTTCAATTATAAACTGAGTAATGCTAATCCAAAGGAAATAGGGGAGAATAACAGCCAGGAATCCAATTGTTTGGTTACTTCTCTTTTTATATTTTCTTGACTGAAGAGCAAGGAGCTAAGCTAGCAATGGGGAGAGCATAGTGTAGTGTAGTAAGTTAAGTGCACATATTCTTTAGTCAGACAAACTGTTTTTCACCATTTAGCAGAGGGGTAATACTGGACAAGTGACTTGATTTCTTTGAGCTACAGTTCCATCACTTATAAAATGAGAAAAATAACAGGTCAATACATTCCACTGTTGAGAAAATTAAAAATATTACCTACCTCACGGGTTTATTGTGAACAATATATGGTTTTATGCAACTGTGATGATTAAACATGAGTGGCACCCATTAAGTACTCAGAAACTATGAGCTAGCAGTACTTGTGAAGTTGTGGCTGTTCTGTTTTTGGAATCAATCTTTAATGTGACTAAGCCCTTGTGTCCTCCTTACAGAAATGCAGGTCTGACTACAGTGCTTAGTGAAAAGAGTTGAAACACGACAATTCAAAGATCTAAATCAGCCTTGTCAGTTACTTACTGAGTAAGTTAACCCGAGTCTTGAATCCCCCATTTTATAATGGTGACCACACTGTCTGGTCCAATTTTCTAAACTAAGGTACTGGGAAGGACCCACCACAGAGACAACATGTTCAAAAACTTCTCATACATTTTTAAGGTGTAAGGAATTCATCAGTGAATGAGCCAAGACATTTCATTTCGTAGGAAGCGCTGAGTGACATGTGACAGTCCGAGAGTCTCTTGGTTACATATACCTTTCACATTCAGATTGCTTTTTTGTTAAAAATAAAATCCAAACCTAACCTGATGATACAATCATATGATGTATTTTCTAACAAATGTAACATGAGTAAGAGTAATGAAAAAGAAATTGTCCATTAATTCAGCATAAAAATGTGAAGTTGCCCTGTGTCAATATGATAAAATCTTACTCATTTTTGTTGACATTTGAAGCAAAACAATTGTGTTGAATGTAATCACTAATGCATTTACAAAACATGCATATTTAATGTCATTTAGAATACATTTTGATGGTTCTTTATTATTTCTGGTGTCCCTGCATGACAAAGAACACCAAACTGAAATCCAGACACAGAAAGACCTAAACTGGTCTAATGAGACCCAAAAAGCTGTTAATAATGCTTCCCTTGAGAAGCATCACTAACCCATTGAAAAGATTATTGAGTCAAATAAGATTTGCTCTACAGGAATGATTCCAATGTTATTTAGTTAGAAAAAAAATTCCTTCCCTCCAAATAACCTTTGCGGTTTACCAAGTACTTTCACATAGATTATCTCCTTGTCTATGAGGGGGATGTTTGGTCATTTTAGATGTGAGTACCTGAGACCCAGGGAATGAGAGACTCACATAAAGAAAGGGTATGATGGACTCTTTGACCCAGTTACAGATCATTGATTCCAAAACCATCGTGCTTTCTTTATGATATTATTCTTTTCTTTTATGTGTCTGGAGAAATCAACAGCTGGTGTTTGTTTATTATAATGCCTAATAGAGTAGAAAGAAATCAAAAGAGAGGTTACCTGAGTGTGAGTGTGCTATGTAAATTGGGGGATTCAAATGATTTCCCTCAATTTCATTTTTCTTGTCTATAAAACAAAGACATATATATGAACACACTTCATATAAAGTACAGTTTAATGCACACTGGATCTGTTATCCTTATTATGTGATTCTTAGAATTATTTGAGCATTGAATATTCTTTATGTAAGAAAATACCACAAAGGAGATAAGAGAATGGGATTTATAAGACTTTTAATTTGACTTTATTGTGGACAAATTACTGAACTCTGAACCTCTGAATGTAAGGTAATTGTGGAGATGAAATATGATAATATATGCAAATGACATATTACATTGCTTGACACATAATAAATGCTCATCAAATGTGAACTTCAAATCCATTTAAGAAATGTGGTTTATAAAAATATAAATAATCCATGTTCACATGTACTATGTTTGTGTTAAGATAACACTTATATTCCATGGTGGTGTTGTGGAGAATACAGCTATGGTTTCCTGATCCCTTTATTTATTTTCACTCCAGCCCCGCAGGTAGGAGCTAAAGTCAGCAGGATAAAACATCTCTAAATTTGTTCTGTTCCGTTATCCGAAGTGAATGAAAATCAAACAACCCAGGGGTATTTTTTAGGTTTTATCTGCCAAAATAATGTGAATTCACTTTATTGAATTGTTCTTATTTTCCTTCTTTGTACTCTGTTGCTTTCATTTTCATCTCTGCCAAGAAACCAATTAAAAAAACCACACACACACACACACACACACACACACAAATAAATGGCCATAATTTCCACATCTACTCAGACCTACTCTTTGGTCCACTATGGAAATCTGTGGTTTCTCCAGACTGACCTCGGTAAGCGTGATTTTAGTGAAGCCAAGAGTTTTCTCACATGAAAAAAAAAATGGCACAATAAACTGTGAACTAAGTTAGGAAGTCCTGGGCTGTGATGTAGGTCTTCCCACGTATGTAACATTAGGCATGCTGTGATATGCAGAGGAATGCCCTTCCCTTCCTCCCCACTCCCCTCCCCAAGATGTCCGTGTCCTAACTCCCAGAACCTGTGAATATGCTACCTTACATGGCAAAAGGGACTTTGTACATGTGGCTAAGTCCAAGGTATTGATAGGGAGAGAGTATGGTGCATTTTCTGAATGGGTCCAATGTAATCACAAAGGTCCTTATAAGAGAG